ACCACCGCCGCCCCCCCTCCCTCCGCGCAGCGTTCCCCGCGCCTCCTCACTCCTCCGCGCCTCCGAATCCCTCCGCCCGAGCCGGCGCTTGGGTTTTTTCACCTCCTCCCCTCCCCCACTCCCAACATCGCTTCCTCCTGGTTTGTCCCAGCTAAAGCTGCCGGGCGGGGGGAGGGAAACGTTTCTTTTCCCGTTTCTGTAACGGTGTCCCGTTAAGGGGGGAGCGGGGCTGAGCGTTTTGCTGGGGGAGAGAGGAGAGGCGGTTGGGACTATTTGGCGTTCCTGCCACGGCCTCGGCGGAAGGAGCTCGCTGTGTGAGAGCCTGTGGGGTGCTGCGGCTCCTCTCAGCGCTTCCTGGAAACTCCCGCTTAGGAGCGGGGAGGGGGGGGACGGGGGACGGGAACAGGAGAGAAAGATCCTAAAATCCTAGTGCACTTATGGGGCATGAGCACCCCCTTCCCCTGCACAGCCCCTCAGTACCCCAAAGAGAGGGGTGAGGAGCGGGGAGACGTGACGGGGTGGATTAGGGGCGAAAAAGTCCTTCGTCCCGGCCTTGGCAGTGAAGGGGCAGCCTGGCCGGTTGTGGGGCGAGGGCAAGGGGCAGCCACCCCCGAAACAGCGCCTTTCATCCCGTGTTTCCTGGAGCTGGGGGCACGGCTCCCCGGCGGTGTGGGCTGGGGAGTGATGGGTGAGGGCTGTCGAGGCTGGTCCGTAAGCAGTGGGCACGATCGGGGCTGGGAAGCTCCGGCTGCAAAGGGCTGAGAACAAAAAAAATTAAAAGGGGGAAAAAAAAAAAGGGAAAGGGAAAAAAAGTAAAGCGCTCCCTTTGCTGCCCTCTGCCTGCCGCGGGGCCGGGCCGCGGAAGCGGCTGCTCGGGGGGGGAAGGAACGGGGCCAGCCCGTGTCGTACTTTGCTCTGGAGGCAATGGGTTATCCGCTGTCCCCGGTGGGGATGCGCTTTGCGACCCGCACCCCAACCAGGCTTTCTCAATGGGCCAAGGCGCGTTCCCGTTTGGCTCGACTCAAGGGTGAGAGGACTTTTGGGGCTCTGCGTTTGAGTACTTGGGTTATTTAAGGCGATGGGAGGAAGAACGCAGAGTGTGTGCAGTAATGGGGTGTCCAGAGCGAGCCGCTGATGAATGCCCGTGGTACACAACCAAGGACACGCAGCATCAGTAAATAACCGTGTGGTTCATTAGATACGGGCGTTAGGGATCCTACCTCACACTGTCAGACCTGGCTTCTTCTGCCTCCCCTCACCTGGGGCCTGGCACGAGCTCATCTCCCCCAGTTCCCAAGGTTTAACACCCTTTGAACATGGAGTTGTGGATCCTTTCTGCTGTTGCAAAGCAACTCTGAAACAAAAACTCCGTTCTTCCACTAAATCCATGAGTTTTGGATGCTGGGACAACTCAGGAAAAGCAGGCAAGACGTAATGAAATTACGTGGAAGAGAAGGATTCATTATGGCGAGTAGATACTCATAAATCCTGTTAGCAAACAAACACGTCCATAGATACTCCCTGATTCTAGATGCCCAGCACCTTCCATATGCCTCCATTTCCTTAACACCATTCCTAAGTCTGTACATGGCTCCATTTACAAACCTAAAATCCAAATGTAAAGCAAGGGTGAAGGCTGTCCTCACCTCCTGATCTTGGGTTTAGCTCTCAATTCTATAGTTTGGTCTATGGAAAGAGCAGCCTCTGGCTCTTGAGGACTGAGAAACATCTCCTGGCTTCACACCCCTCCAGGACCACTCAGTTAAAGATGATCTGTGCTCTGCTTTAGTCCTTGGCTCCCTTTGAATACCTTTTAGTTCATTGCAGTCTCTGTTGCAGTTTTACTTTGTACTCCAATCAGTGCCTTGTAAATACGTGTATTTATTCTGTCAGTCCTGCACTGCATCCCTTCTACCATCAAAATACTAAACCACAAAAGCTCCCCTATTACTCAACAGCAGATCCATGGATTTATGCAGGATTTCCTTGGAGCAGGTCAGCAAATTCAAAACAACGACTTCAAAACCCTTGGCCTGAGAATGGATTGTTTCCAGATCCTTTTCTTTCCTCCTCAATTAAAAAAGGCAGGTCCTGGGGAAAGCTAGTAAACAGCCACCATTGCAAAGCCCATAGCACGCCGCATCCTGATGCCAGTTGTGTTGGAGTAACTGCAATCTTGTGTTTAGATAGCAGGAGATAGGAAAACATCACTTTGTCTGCATGTCCCGTTAGAATAAATCATCCTGGATACTTCAAGGGGATAAAGCGTCATCCAACAAAGAGCTGATTCAGTCGTCTGCACTGAAAAGCTTTATGTTTCCTGGTTGATAGTTTAAATTATCATGGGATAGTTTAAATTATCAACAGCCTAAAAACCCCACCCCAGCACATTAAACAGAACTCAAATTCTTCTTCTCCAACTGCAGGAAATGCAAGTGTTGGAGAGAAATAGATAAAGCCCCCAGTTCCCTGATTTCGTGAGCTCTTAATTGAGGGAAGTTGGTTTATTCCTAAATGTGCTTTTTGTGTGCTCTTGTGTGGGCAAGTTGTTGTTTGTCCTCTTGTTTTTATGGCAAACGCTCCAGTATGGGCCACTTTAATATTAACCACTTGAGGGGCTTTAGTGAGTCCTGGGAACTGGGATGTGCTCCCACTGCCCAGCACAGGGATCCGTGTCGGAGATACACAGACACCTTAGAAGTTCCAGGTTCTGTGATTAGGTATAAATGAACCATTTTGGCTTCTGAATTGTGGTCAGTTCATGTGTGAACTGCCTGGCCAGCAAACAGTTCCGAATCTGAAACCCTTTCATAACTGATAGGGAAACATTTTGCAGTTGGAAGTGATTTAACGGTGTTGTTCATAATAGATCCAGTACAAATCCCTCTCCTGCTGTTTTGAAAGCTCCCCAGCGCCGGGTAGAAGGGCAGTCCTGCTTGGTTAAGGGAAAAAAAGATAATCTGGTTGAGACTTGTGCTTTATTTTCAATAGCTACCAGATCCTGGAGAATAGTTACACTGTATTTTTAGTGTTCCAGCTGACAATGGGGTTTATTATTCAAGTGGATCAAGTGAGCAGAGATCACTCTGAATCCAGACAAGCAGAATCCAGTAAGAAAGGTGTTAGGTTTATATAGCTGCTGGTGTAGTACTAAGCACGTATTAAATAGGGAGAGCTGTGGGTATCAGACTGGAGTACTTGATACTCCGTACTCCCACATGGCATGTCTGAAGTGATGTTACTGAAACACTGCAAGAGGCTCCGCTCTTCATCTCCAGAGCCTCCTGCTTGGCCACTGAGGAGGATGAGGGGAGTTTACAGGAGCTTCCTGAATGGGAAAGGGAAAAAAAAGTCAGTTAAACACTGGATTTGTGACACAGCAGCTGAGGAAATGTTGCATGAAGGGAATCCTGCTATTTATGAAACTTCTCCATGCCTGCATGCTTAAGTGAAAGCCTATGTGATGCTCCAGCTCTGTGCAAACCTGCCCCATTTCCCTGCTCCAAGAGCAGGCAGCAGAAACACGGGGGAACAAGGAGTGGATGGCATTGTTTGTCCAAAGAAGCCACTGTCGAGGGTGCTGATGCTCTGATGCTCACCTTCCCCATCTCACTGGAGACTATGCTGCAGGCCACAGGAACTACAAGCCACGAGGATGAGTGGAGGTGGAGGTGACCGAGCCAAAGCAAACACGTTAGAGAAGTCAGGCAAGTCTTTTTGGAGCAGATTTCAAGCACGCTTTTGAACCCGTCGCACGACCTGTTTGGGTCCTGGCAAGGCTGCGTTAGTCCTAAGGCCAAAGAAGTCAAATACAGGGAGAAGATACAGGTGTTTCCTCTCTGTGGCTGCCAAGGAGAGGTAGTGAGAAGACAGCACAAGACAGAGCAGAAATTGCCAAGACAGCACAAACTCATTTTCCAGAAAACAACCATTAGTGGAATTGTTTTATCTGCTCAAATTTGACAAATCAGTTCAAGCCCAAGCACACCCTGCAGGATACCTCACACATGAGTATCTGGGCTCTCATTTCCCAGGCAGCTCTGTCACCCTAGTAGTGATCATCCACTGAAGCCACCTCACTGCAATCTGTAGTCCCTCAAGACAAAATAACTCAAAATATTTATACCCTTTTTATTAATGAAAGGAGGAGCTCTTGTGTATGAGCTGAAGACACAATAAACATCAACAGAAGTGGCTAAACTTGTTTTGCATTCTCTGGTGCTGTCGAGTTGCCCTCTTACAAATCTTTTTGCTGTTCTTCTGACCTCAAGAGATTTAGAATGAGATTTCAAAGACCACTGATGATACCATTCAGCAGCGGGAAAGAGAATGAAGCTGTGGTTGAAGTTACGAAGAGAGATAAAAGCAGTCTGTGTCCCAACCCCCAAATTTCCCCAATGCATGTGGGTTGGTTGTGTGAACAAGATGCAGGGAGCTACAGGGATCTTACGCTGCAACCCGACAACTCTCAGTCTTGCACATTTCAGGCTGTATGTGATGATGCATTTCTGTTATGTGGCACAGTACGTGCGGGTGATGGAGTAAACCCGATTGGGAGCGGAGTGCTGGGGAGGGGAGAAGAGGTCTGCATGAGGATGGGGAGCTTTGTGTCGCTGATTGCAACAAGCAGTGAACACAGTGGTGAGAGAAGCCTTACCTGGGACAAAACAGATAAAATCCTGGCTTCGTGCTGCGAGTGGTTATTGTCTCCCTATAGACTACGAGGATCCAGAGCAACTCCTCAGGCACAGTCCCAAGCAGGTTACAGAAGATCTTGTTCAGCCTGAAGAAGAGAAGGCTCTGGGGAGACCTTAGAGCAGCTCCCAGTGCCTAAAGGGGCTACAAGAAACCTGGAGAGGGGCTTTGGACAACAGCCTGTAGGGACAGGACAAGGGGAATGGCTTTAACCTGCCAGAGGGGAGACTGAGATGAGCTCTTGGGCACAAGTTCTTCCCTGTGAGGGTGCTGAGGCACTGGCACAGGGTGCCCCGAGAAGCTGTGGCTGCCCCATCCCTGGCAGTGTTCAAGGCCAGGTTGGACAGGACTTGGAGCAACCTGCTCTAGTGGAAGGTGCCCCTGTCTGTGGCAGGGGTTGGGACTGGATGAACTTTAAGGTCCCTTCCAACCAACTCTATGATTCTATGAAATACAAGTTTCAGGCTTCTCAGAGTTGAGGAGTTAAAGAAATCCAAGTGTCCTTGCTCGTAAATGCAAGGTAAATTATTCATTCTCTCTCTCCCCCCTTTTCCTCCCTCCAGTTCAGTTTTCCTTTTCATGCTTTAATCGTTTTGACACCAAGCTGTACAAAAGTAATTTAAAATTAACATGACTGACACTTGGTAGATAGCAGGACCCAGCGCAGGGCTCCACCTTCTACTCCGGACTGCAGAGAGGGGCTCTGGATTGGCTGCAGGTCCTGAGGCAGCTGATGAGGCCCAAGGAAAAACATGGCAAACAATTAATTTGCTAATTTAGTTTTCTGTTTCATTTGAGACCAGAAAATTGTCAGGCACTCACCAGTCCATGAGCAAGGCTAAGTGGACTTCGGGCAGTGCTGCACTCTTGACAGCAAAGAGGGGACACATTTGAGGAGCCAGCCAAGCAGTTTCTCCTGCTGGTACCAGTGGCATTTAATAGGCTTGATAAAGGCTTTTAGTATTGAAGTTCTGCAGCCTTGGGGTTTGTATCACCTCTCCTCAAGCACTTTGTGCATGTGATAACAGGGAAAGTGGCAAGGTGCACACGTATGTTGCAAAAAACAGCTGTGAATGGTTGCCACCTTCACAAAATCATCAAAATGCAGAGGAAGAAAATGGCTTAGTAGAAAACTTATATTTGGGTTTCTTTTTTCTTACATGCAGAACATGTTGTAGCTCCAGTCAAGTGGAATTCTTACAGGGATAACTCCTGCACACGATAAATGATGGTGAGGCGTAACGAGCCTATATGAGGACTAATGTCCTTTGATGGAAAAAGAAATGCTCTAATTCGATTTCCTCCCTTCAGCTGTGAAGGAGAGTGTGTAATGTCAGAGCTGTGTGGAACGGGCCCTTTATGTTCAGTTTTGGGCATAATTTTGATTTAGTAAATTGAATTGTATCTGATTTATTTCCTGCATCTGATCACTGGTAGGAAGGGAGAACTCCCCACAGCCCTGAATCTCATCTCAGGCATTCGCACGGAGCTGCTGCTGTGCGTGCAAGTGGGTGTGTGAGAAGCTGTGAACACATTAAATCAATTAGTACGTTACCAGCAGAGGGAGCGTGGGTCAGGGCTGGGTTCAGCGGGGAGGCAGGAGCCTAAAAATGGGACTGTGAACCCCGGAAAAGAAGGACTGTTGCAGCATCAGCATCATTTGTTTCCTAAATCCAAATGAACCGAGAGATAGGATCTCATTTGCAAATCTGGGACCTTGCTTGGCCTCCCTAATTCACAGGTTTCCTCTTCCCCTTCCAAGTGATGCTCTCTGTAAGCCCAAGTCACTAGATGGTACTGTTGCTGTTTAACGTTGACGCCTCTGTGGGCCAGCTTTTGGGGAAACTCGCTTTTCTGCTGCGAGCTGCTGAAGGGCTGTGTCATTTGTCAGCTGCAAGTGAGGAGCCAGGGAGAAGAAGTAGGTCAGATCTGCTTCCCAGGATCCAGCTCTTGGAGGGGGAGCGGATGCATGGCAGAGATTTCATCTGCTTTGCTTCTAGCTTTGCTGCCCAAAGGGGGGGACAGGGTCAGACCCTTGTGTAAAGCCTGTGAAACCAAGGCCTTGGTCAGCTTTGCTCGTGGTTAAGCGGCGCTGGGGGTGGCTCAGGCTCAAGAGGAAGGACGAGCCCTCTGTGGCTGCGGTTGGTGGAAGTTGTGTTGCATACTGACCTCGTGGAAGGAGGAAACGTGGCAAATCTTGACCACTGCAGCACACTAAAAGCCAGCCTGAGGTGGGCGCCTGGTTGCACAGATTCCTGAACCACTGGGAAATACCCCCAAGCTTTCAGATCACATCTTGCCTGCAGCCCATCCCTGTTAGGAGGTCACCAACCTCCCCATCATGGATGGTAACAAACAGGTTATTGTGCTCTACTTTGCAAACAAGCCCCAGCCCTCCCAACAGCAAGGGAGAGACTCCTTCCCTGGGCAGGCAGCCCATGGAGAGCTGCCTGCCCGCCTGCCCTGCCTTCGCTTGGGCTTCTATTAGAGAGGAAAGTCAGGCCAATTAAATCAGGCAGCATTGAATCTCTAATTGACATAAATGAGACAGACAGACAGCTGGGAAGACTGGGGAGGGGAGGGAATGGGGAGCAGGTGCCCTGGATGAGAAAGAGATGGAAATCCAACCTAATAGTACTGTAGCTTTTCTTATTCTCTATGTTTATATGAGCTAGCAACATCTTGAGAAGTGTCTGTGCTCCTGCTGGAAAGAAATTAGTGAAAGAAATACAAGTTACAACCATTGTGTGGTTGATCGGGATGTTCCTAAAACCCTCTAAACAAACCCAAAGAAGCAAAAATCATCTATTTATGCAGTTAAATAAAAGTACCTGGTCTTCCCCACGCAGTTTGAACATAAGGCCTCACAGCTGAACAATTACAAACTAACTTTAAATCCTATTTGTTTAATTTTCCATATCTGCACATCACTTGACTAGGTATTTTCCCCTCGCTTTTCACCAGGGAGTGCTCTTTTTCCTTGAGCAGACCCTTCAAATATTAATTTACCCAGAACTAAGTTATTTAAATTCATACATTGCAGAAGAATGAAGCATAAAGGGGAGTCACTCACCCAAGTCCTGCACAGCAGCCCCAGCACTGCGGATGGAACCAGAATTACCAGCCCTTCGCCCGGAGCTGCCTGCCTCACCCAGGGAGTTGCCTTTATGGAAACACAAATCGGTGGCTGGTTTCTCAACACACACTTGTGGTGCCGGGCAGGTGAGCAGGGGGAGGCTTGAGGGGTACAAAAGCAAGGGTGAAAATCCCAATTGGATGCAGATAACAAGAAGGGGGCAAATTCAGTTTTGCTGTGCTGATACAGCAGCAACCCTGGATTAGCTCCTGCAACCTGGAATGAAAACAACCTGTATCTTTGTTTTAAACCAAGACAGATTTGCACACTGGTGTACAAGAACACCAGAAATGTTTTCCACTTACATTCCCAGAAACTTCTGAAGTCTCTTTCCTGAATATTTCAACACATTTTTTCCCTTCCCTATTTTCCCAGCTGGGATCATTTTTGCCAGTACAGACAATTCTTCTTGGTATCCATGGGAATTGCCTCCATAATTAACGTGCACCCAGTGCACAGATCAGAGCGTTCAAACCCAGCAGCTGGAACTAGGAGGCGGGTCTGATCAAATCTGCTCTGCCACAAGGAGAAAAGCCAGCTTTAATGACACATCACAAGGGCTCCCTACCCCTTCTTTAAGCAGAGCAGGGAAAGGGGACTCCTGGTTTACTTCCTAAGTGGCTGCTCATCATGTGCTTGCAACTCACTGAACAGAGAGTGAGGGCAGAGCGAGTGAGAGCAGAGCAAGTGAGCTGGTGCCTTGAAATTGGGGATCTGTCCTATTAAAAAGGGTCTGATTGCCAGCAGTGGCACACACGGTGTGCCTTCAGAATTACAGTACAGACTGCAAACATGAGCGGTTGCAGACCTCATTTTTCTCCTCCATACACGAGGGTCAGCTCGTACGTGTCTCATAGAGGAACAAATTCTCCTCTGGGTTTGCTGCCATGACCAGAAGTGATCTGTTGCGTGCATCCCCGAGAACACATGTGCAGCCAGCCAACAACTCGGGGTTCTCATGGAAAGTAAATGCACACCCAGTATGCGTTTCAGAATCTGCTGTACATAAAAGAGCTGGTGGAAGAGGCAGATGGTTGGATGGAAATTATTAATCCAATACAAGATTTTTTTACTTGTAGTTGCTGCTTCCACTCAGTGTCACAAACCCAACAACTTCTGTGGGCTTCCCTGTGGTTGACCCCCAGGCTGCGGGTGTGCCAATGGCATGGCAGTAAAACCACTCCATAGACCCGCATTTCTCTTACCTTTCTTAAGAACTAGAGCTGGGAGTTGGGGTGGGGAGCACATGTTAAAATCACAAGTAGTTTGGTGGGTGGGGAAAAAAGCGACTTTGAACAAACCATGATTTTCCTGCTGCTTACAGCAGCTGAGGACGCAGTGGGGAGCGGGGATCAAACACGGCTCCAGTCTAGACATAGCTGCAACCCCCGCCGGCCTTAGAGGTTCATACAGCACAGGCTGAGGGGAATTTAGCATATCTTTTCCTTAATATGATTAAAATGCAGCTCCCTGTCCTGGGGTACTGACAAATCCTCAAATCCACAGGCATTCAAACCCACGTTACCATTTCCATGGCTGAAGAAGTAACTCGCTTTGCAAACGTGGCAGCGCAGACAAGCGACGTCCTGGATCCCTGCTAACGGAGGTTCCTGGAAGTGAAGTTTGAACTCAGCCCTTCTTGTGATTCTGTGATTTGAATATCATTTTCACAAACCTTGCAAGAAGCAGATGAATGAGAGATTCCTGGCGTGGAGTCAAATGCTGCAGTAATTAAATGTTTATAAAACACTTTAAGCATGCAAAGTGCCATTATCATAGACAAGAAACCAATAGACTGTGGCAGATTGGAGCCGGGTTTTGAGGCACACCAGCAAACACAGCTCATTTCTCCCTCCACATCTCTCTTTCAGAGTTGCTAAACAGAAGATTATGGAAAGCATTACCAGGTTCCTTTCATTATAACCATAATAAGTCAAATCCGAATTGCTTTCTCTCATATGAACACATGTGATTCAGAAGATTTTCCTCCTGTAATAAATACCCGAGCAGAGGGCTGGCTGCTGGTTATCTCGTGAAGAAACCACCCCATGGGAAACGAAATTGCTGCTACTTCTGAGCTCACACATAAAACTGAAGAGGTTCCACCTGTTACAGGTTTCTAACACCATCTGCTGTTTAAAAACAAGACAGCATTTGAGCTGAGCAGCACAGCAGCTAAACCAGAAGTGACAAGTCCTGAACATATTTCAACTTGATCTTCATTATGAAGTGAATTATTTCTTCACTCAAAGACTCAGAAGCCCAAGGAGCAACAGTGATGCTTGTCAGCACCTCAAAACTTGACCCTTCATCCACATTCACAGGACTGAAACTTGTCAGTGCTGAAGCAGATTTCCAAGCCATGTCCTTCCCCTCCAAAGCCTGGCCCAAAGAACCTCCTTCAATTTTCCCTCCACAGGGTGTGAAGAACTCAAAGTAAATAATTCTTTCTATTACAAATAACTATATTTACCTCTTGCTGTCTCACACCACTTCTGTACAACAGAATAAACACTTGAACCACGGAGTCTTTTACTGTTTCCTAATGAAAAGTGACACAAACTTTTGTCCCAGGCAAAACAAGAGTCCTGGAGTTCATTACGCATCTACATCAAAGGTCTCCTCACCAAGGCTCTTCAGTTTTGTTGCATGTGTTAAAAAGCAATGAGCTATTCTTAATAACCCCAGTTTTCCCAGAAGTAATTGTCTAAATGGGTCCTTAGGAGTGCAGCCACCCACCCGAGGCAGTGCAGTGGCTTTATCAGCACAGATTTAGCCAAAAAATCACCCCGAATCTTCAAGCCTAACACCAAACAGAGGTTGCAGCCAGGCAAATCCTTCCCCAGTCAGCTCATTTACAGCATCACCCTCTATATGGAACGTTTATAACCCCCTCCCCACACATCATTTAAAGAGTCAGTGGCTCCTTTTGTAAGTGATCAGCTTCTTACCCCAGCACTTTACACGCGCTGCCCGACAAAAGAGACCTTTTACATGTCAATTTATTTTCAGACAAGCATATCTGAAAGGGAATTTCTCTCCGGAGTAGAATTAGTATTAATGGCAGGTGTTCAGTGTGACACAAAGGGAGGAAGGCTGAAGTTAGCTGAGCTTCAGTAGGAAGACAGCTTGATGTTTTAATAACCAGAGGCAAGAAAATGGAATGGCAGCGGCCCTCCAGCTTTCATAGCATGAATGAAGGTTTTATTCAGAGCCTCCTATGTACTTGCAAAAGAAGACCCTGAAATATTTAAAACGTTTTCTTTGCATTCAAAGGGGGATTAAATTGTTGAATATTAGATGAAAGCGCAGCAGCCGCCCCACATACCCTCACACACGCTCTCAGCCACCGAGTGTTTCCGAAGCCTCCCACGTTCTTGGGAAGGCAGCAGTGGCTACGACGAGGAGCTGGTGGTACCCAGGAGGTCACCGGCTGCACATTCACTGTCCACAAATGCCTAAAGACATAGGAAAAAAGAATGACATGAACTAAGTGGAAGGTGGGGACTTGAAGAGGGCATTGGAATGAGTTGGGTGGAAGTTGAAAAGCAGAGCGGTTGCTCAGTGAAGTTTCGCTAAGGGAAAGAAAGGATGATTGCTGAGAAAGTTCCTAACCTTCAGTTTTAAAGAGAGCTTAAAATAACCATGATGGGAATATCTCTCAGGCCAAAATACATTTATTTATGCTCTGCTTAATTTGACAGAGGTCAGAACTGCATCATTAAGAGGAAGGCATGACCACTTTACACAGTGGGAAGCAGGAAAACAGCCTCTCACCCGGGTCAACCTCTTTACAACAGAAAAGTTGCTGCTTTACCCCCCAAAAGGGGAAAGTTTAACCTTTCTTATGCGGAAGCTGTATTACGTAGAGCTGTTCAATACTGTTTGCAAGCTCCTTGTCTATGAATTAACACGCTATTTCGGCACAGGTTAATTCCAGGTTGACTCCACTATTCGAGGCTGGATTCCAGGATTTCTGCTCCCTTGAGCTTCCGTATAGATGTATAGGACAAAATCCTAAAGGTCAAGTCAACTATTAAACACCTGAAATAACACAAGCAGTTTTCCTTGTAAAGATTTCCTCATGTATGGAAGTTAAATGTGTTTTTGTCCCTTTTCAAACCAAGACAAAGGTAACTCTATATCCTCTTTGTCCCACCTTAAAGCTGAAGGACTCAAACCCATGTGAGAGCAGATCATTGGGTCTTCTCTAAGACACAGCCTCCCCCCAACAGGTATTAGAGACCCAGCCTGCCACAGGCCCAGTTCTCACCTCAGATAATGCAATTCCAGTTAAGAAGACAGCAGTTGGTCACAACTGTATTTTGGCCAAGGTTTAATACTGTTCAGGCTAAAAGCAGGAAGAGGAAAGGGTCCACCCGACCTGTTACAAACACCTCCAGTTCTCATAAAGATCAACAGGTCAATTTTTATTGAGGACTGGAATTAAAAAAGTAACAGCACTTGGTTGATTTGGAACTAAAGATCAAGACATTTTTACTTACAGATCACTCAAAACAACTTGGTTAGAAGCACCCCAGAAAGCAAAGAGCCCTCCTTGTTCACTCTGCTCTCCAAAGTGATGGAGGTTCCAAAGCTGCAGCTGCATCAAACACAGAGTTTGACCCCAGTGAGGCAGAAGGGTTTGACACTCCAGGTATTGTCTTATGGCCAGGCTCCTGTGCCCACAGAGCTCTGCACCTGGTTGTGTCCTACACACCTTTGAGTTGTCACTCATTGGCCTCACACCGGCACCATTACAGGGAGGGTTCAGCAAAGGTTGTAATGTTTTTCCTTGCTGGTAATTGCAACCATTGACCCTTTTGTACAAACAAGCCACCAGCCAAGCAGGGGGAACATTTGGTTTAAGACCCATCCTGACAGTCCAGACTGTTGAGAGAGGTTCACAGTGAGCGGTGATCACCACCAGCACGACCAACCCCGTCCACTGTTTCAGACCCTTAAAGCACAGTGTAGGAAACAGTCTGAAAATGGGCTCGAGTGTACCAGTAGGAAGATCCAGTGGGACTGGCTCCTCCTCTCAGCACTGGACACCAGGGCAGCACTTGGAATAAATAACAGAAAACCAAATTGTGACTATTTCAGCTTCTTCCTGGCTGCTCCAGGGATGAAAGCAGGACCTGCCTGGATGAGGGTAGAGAGGAGAGAAAGTTTCCCCTTTAGTTATACAATCAGCCAAAAGTAGGAGAAATTCATGTGAAAACCTTTGCTGGCTTCAGTCATAGCCTGAAGCACAGGAGCTCTCCAGCCACCAGGGAACCAGGGAGCATCAGCACTTCCCTGCAAGTCAGAGTGGGCCAGGGATTGATTTCTAGCACAGTTTGCCTCCAAGTGTTGGCTTCTATTTTCGCTAAAGTGTCCTGAGAGTAAGAAATTCCCCTCCGCAGCCCGCATCCTGCCACCTTTCCTACTGATTCCTGCCTTACTCCGCAACTGGATCTAATTACTTCCTACTGCAAAGGGAAGTATTGCACCTGAGAGAAGGGGGTGTAATGTGCAGCCCTACCAAAGTCCTGCTGCTTTTCCCATCCCAGGGGCAGATGAGAAAGCTTCACAGCTCTCCCAAAAGGCAGCAAGAATCATTACACCAGTACAGTGTGGGGAAACGACCCGGGTTGCTTATTCTGCAGCTAAAAGTCAGTAAAATACCATCAACTGAATGACATGTTTATTGTAGGATTCAGAAAGAAACCCTGAGCTGTAGAACCAAGTTAAAGTAAAAAAGGGTGCTTTGTTTCAGAGGTTCCTGCTGAAGGAAAAGAAACCCAAAGATGGCAAAAGCAGTGGCCAGAGCAGCCCAAAGCCTCGGCTTTGCTCAGGAGAAGGTTCCTCTATCATCCCCATCTGCATGGATGACAAGCTCCCTGGGGAGTTATGGGGAGAACATGAAGATGGGAGGGCAGAGGGGAGGAATGAAACAAACCCAGTAGGTTCTGGGCAGGGGGAGCACAAGAAATGGAGTCTGAAAAATCAACCTTAAACACACACAAGGGAAGGGGAGGGAAGTCCCTTACAAACATGAGTGCTGCTGGCAAGGAATCTGCAGGGTTGACTTTGGGAAGAGCATCCAAAGGTTCAAGGGAGGAAAAAGCCCAAAGCCTAAACCCCAAACTTGATGCAGTCTTCCAGCCACAACGGTGTTGGAAAGGATCAGTTCCAAGAAATGATGTAGCTACAAACAAATACCTGGCCCAACACAGGGAGGGGTGAATCAGAGCTGCTTTTTAGTGCCACTTGACATCAGTTATACATTCTAGTTCCCATATACACAGATGGATGTCTTTAAAAATTGACAATTTACACTTCAAAAAAGTTTTACAGTGAAGTTCTCTCAGTCCACACAAGGAGGAGCCCAGTCTCAGAAACAGGAAGGCACTTGGCCTTTGGAGAACAAGTCCTCAAGGGAGCTCCAGTGTAGGCATTGGCCACCCGACCTCCTGCCCCTAGTCTTGGGTGGGTGCACACAGCCTGGCTGCAGTCCCCCCAGCCTCACAGTGTGGTGGAAGGAAGTTTCTTCACCCGCCTCTGTGCCAGAATGGAGGATTCGATGGGCTTCAGCTGGGGGCTCGGCTTGGAGCTGTTCAGTGCAGAGTACGTGGCAGCCATCGCCCCCTTGGAGAGAAGGCACGAGAGAAGTTGTTTAGGTCTTGAAGAGCTATTTCAGACTCCTGGCTTTACAAGATGAGGGACCAGAGTAGCCAGACCCACAAAGAAAGCCAAAGGCATCTTTCTTGTTTTGAGCAACTTGATCTAGTGGAAGGTGTCCCTGCTCATTGCAGGGGGTTGGATTAGGTGACCTCTGAAGGTCCCAGCCCAAACCATTCTATGGCTCTATGATGCTTTTTTCTGTAAATCCCCCTCCCATACTGACGTGCCATTAAAGAACCTCCCTAGGTTTTCCTGTCCAAAACCCCAGCTTCTCATGTGTTGCCTCCCCTGGCCCACAGCTCCTCCAACCTCCCATCCCACGCTGCCCACACCATCATCACCCAACCGGCACCGCTGCTCTCTAAAGAACCCAAGATACATGAGGAACCAGCTGAAGGTCCAGCCCAGACTTTGTACCTTTACAAGCTGAAGGTCCTGGTGATTCAGCTGGCTCTGGGGCAAGCTGTCCTTCTGCGTTATCCACGGGTGCTGCAGGACCTGCTTGGCTGTTAGACGCTGGTGAGGATCTACATGAAGCATCTTTGATACCAGATCCTAGGGGCATTGTTTGGGAAGTTAGACTTTAGAAGATTTCATAACTTTAAATGCAGAAATACCACTTGTCCACCCCCAAATTAGGATTTAAACTCAAGAGGCCAAGTTTAAAGTCCGCAGACATCAATCTCTTGTATAAAATATGGTTTTGGTAGGCCTGGGAGGTATAACACAGCAGCAAACCCTGCATGGGTCAAGCATGAGGTTGGTGTTCTGTGCAAATAGCCACAGCTAAAACAAAGCAAGGAGAGACACATCGCTGTTCTTGGGGTAGCAGCCACACTGCTGGTTTTCTCCTCCCTTGTGTCCTTTCTCCCCAGCCTGCTTTAAACTTGCCTCTCAGTCCTTGGCTGTGCTTGACCACAGCCCTTTAATGTAACACAGATGGATATCAAACCCTACCTTGGCCATGTCAGAAATAGTGTCCCAGTTGCCTCCACTGGTATAGAACTCCCCGCTGCCTATCCGGCTCAGGATCTCTTCAGGAGTGTCACTGGGATCATTTACAAATGGAGTGCAGCTGGGGAGAGAAGAGAGAGCATTTGATTTACTGTCCTGTGACCCAGGCAGGGAGCAGAGACCAAGGAGAAATCCAACTGTTCCCTTCCAGCGAGACAGAGGCACTTACCCTGCGAGCATCGTATAGAGGAGCACTCCCAGGCTCCAGATGTCACAGCCCTCATCGTAGCCCTGGCGTTTTAGTACCTGAACAGAACAAGCCAAGAAAACCAAGAGTGTTTGGTTCTTGTTGAGCTCCCTTCAGCTTTTGCAGAGCAGCTTGACCCCTGCATGAAGTCCATCTGCAAAGCTGCTGGAGTCCAAGACAGCAACATCTTGGATTAAAGATTAGGATTCAGATCAGATTTTGGTTTCATGGAACAGAGGAACCCTTCAGGACATCAAAACAAGTGAGAAAGAAGCCCTGGTCCAGTGTGGTGAGACTGCATGCATGCTCCATGGCATGCTGGATCTTTTTCTTTCTTCCCTGCCAAGATAACTAAGTGGAAAATTATCCCACCTCTTCCAACAGGTCAGGTAATCAGGATGGGAAACAGCCTAGAAAATCACTGGGATTTTGAAGCATCAGTACCCTAAAGAAACCCCCTCGTAAGGACAGTACAAGGTGGAGGACTGCACTGTAACTGCACTTGAGATCCCCTATTTGTTCATTACTACAAGTGGTATTTCTATAGTTACCTCTTCCAGGACAGAGTATGCCAGAGCAGGAGAGCACAGCCATGGGGAGGGACATGGGAGCTGAAGACACAGCAGGTCAGGAAGGTGCTCACCTCTGGTGCCACGAAGTTTGCTGTATAACAAGGAGTCATGAGGAGGCCATTCTCAGCCCTCAGCTGCTTGGCAAAGCCAAAGTCACAAATGCGGATGCTTTCGGGGTTTCCTGACTCATCCACGTAGAGAATATTGCTGGGTTTCAAGTCCCTGTGAACCACCTGTGGAGCAAAGAAGGTGCCATTCTCAGGTAGGTCTCAGGGAAAGGTCTGAAGCTGCATCAGGACACTCAACTCTTGCTCTGGCCCCGCATCTGCCTTGCCAGGACAGCGGCAGTCCTGAGAGGCAGTCACTCCGCAGAGGAGAGGGATCCCAGCGCGGTGCCAGGCAGGTTCCATGTGTAACCACACTCACCCCTTGGGAATGCAGGTACTCCACTGTTTTACACAGGGTGTGCAGGACGGAGCTGGCTTCCCTCTCTGAGAAAAACTTCTGTCTGAGGATTTTATCCAGCAGCTCCCCTCCTCTCATCAGCTCAGTCACCAGGAACACGCACTTCCCATCGTCGTACACCTGCCAAAGCCAGGAGGAAGGGGTGGGCCAAAAAGCGTTTCAAGAGTTTCCCTTTTGTTCTTTACCACCAGACAGAAATCATCACTGCAGAGGTGGGGCTGGGGATGCTTCCCCACCTCAGAGTGACACAGTGAGCAGGACTGCCCGTGCTGGAGCTGCATTCTGCCGCCCAGGAGACCAGCCTGCACTTCCTAAACCCAAATAGAGGGAAGTCATTCGAGTCACACTCACATCTTTCAAGGTGATGATGTTTGGATGCTGCCCATATCGCAGGAGGATTTCTATTTCCTCAGAAGGGTCTCGCTTGCTCTTGTCAATAACCTGCAGGAGTATGGACAAGCATTAGCCACAGGGGGGTGGGAAGGGGACCTGGACAAAGCAAACCAGCTGTTTGGAGCCTTGCAGAGATCCTGTACCATGTCCTCTGCTCTCTTTAGCAATAAGCTCTAGACATCCCCTAATTGCTTCATCAGGTCTGTGTCTCCAAACCCCAAAGTTTTGTGTCTGGCTTATTTAAGATCTGACATAGCCAGAGCAAGCTTTGCAAAGAAAGGTGAGATACTGTCCTTCCTCTGAGAGAACACTGCTTCCCTGCTATTCCCAGCTAAGAAACCTTGTGCAGTTACATGTGCAGCACAGGAACTGTCTATTTAGGCTCTACCCAAGCAGGGAAAGCAGTTTAATTCCTGGATGCTATTTTGGTCATTATGGGGATGAACAGAAATCTAATGGGGAGGGGGTCAGTTCAGATGGTAAATCTCAGACCTTGACTGCATATTCCATGTTGGTTGCTTTATGAATGCAGCGTTTGCACACCGAGTAGGAGCCGACGCCGATCACTTCCTTCACCACGTAGCCATCACTGAACTGGACGTTCTTGCCATGCAGTTGCTGCAAGAGGAAAGGGGAGAGCAGATGAGCTGGGAGGGTTCAGGGAAGGGTTTGTGCAACGTGATGAGTTAACTGCAACATGGAGCAAGCTGACAGACTGCTGTCTGCTACATCCCACAGCTTCTCCTCCTGCCTGGGGAGAGGGAGGAGAGAACAAGGCAGATATAGGTCAGTGGGCTAACACTGTCTGCATCTAGCGTGGTGCATTCCAGTGGCACCTTTCAAACCACACATGTCCCACCAGCACGGGTCCACCTCGGGAGAGGAAAGCAGAGATTCACATTGCCCTGACAACCCCTGCACGTGACAGCCAACAGAAATGAAAGAACAGGATGGCAAGAACTCAAACCAGACCCACACCAGCCTCAGGCTTCCTGTTAGCTCAGCTCCCACACACCCACGCTGGGGTATTACTGCGGCTCCCAACAGTTCTTCCTCTGTCCCCACGTACCTGTACAACCGAGTGCAGAGGTGACGGGGCTGGTTTCACCTTGACATCCTCCATCAACCCAGTTGCCACGAAACTGAAGCCTCGGAAGAGCTGATGGGCTCCTGCACTCGGGGGGACACCTGGGGAATCTGCAACAGGAGTTGAGGGACAACATGAAGAGGGCAAGCCCTGTGGAAGCAGGGAGCTCTGGCTCCTCTTTAGTCTATTCCAGACAAGAGCCACACCGCATAGCACCAAGCTCCCCTTTAACACCCATGTACACATCTGGGTCACCTCCTCAGTGCTGCAACCATTGGCAGCATGAGCAGGAGGCAGACCTTGCCCCCCTGGCACCAGCAAACCGCTGTTGTTTCACACAGGAAACTCCGGCCTTGTGTGGATTCCTACAAACCTTTTGGTGTACGTGATGTATATTCTGTGTCAAAATAGAAGGTGTCATCTGGCTGCCCCACTGCAGGCTTGAAGGGGGGTTTGATTTCTCTGCGGTACAGCTTCTGCAAAACAAAGACAGCTCCGAAGTGCTCCCACAGGTCAGTGTGCCCTCAGAAGGGTGCAAAGGCTCAGGAGGAATGAGGTTTTGCCAAAACAGAAACAGCTCTGTGGCTTAGCATTTACAGCTCAGCAGGTTGAGGGAAGACTTCATGCCTGGTGAGGCACTTGGGAGTCAGCTTGTGGAGAACTACTACAAGTTCTATTAAATCAAGAAAGAAAAGTGATCTATCTGTAACTCAGCCCCACTCCAAAAGCAGTGTCCATACACTATTTATCTCACCAGGTCCTGCCTCCTCCTAACTCCCATTAGGGCTCTGCTGGCACACACCTCTACAGGGACAGCCAGAGGAGATGCTCCAGGAGGACGTTTGTATCCCAGCACTCTCCCAAGTAGCCTTTTTAAAGTGCTCCTTGAAGCCAGACTTTGAAAGAAGCCTCACTGGCATTGCTGGGCTCAGTCGAGGAGCTGCTGGGTGCCTCGAAAGCATTAGAAAACTGATCTGCAAAATCCCTTACCAAGGAAGGGAAAACAGGGAAGAAACACAGTGATGCGGTAGGGCAGGGAGCTGGCCATGAGCAGTTGGGAAATGGTGGTTCAGTGATCACTCTGCTTCTCTGTACAAAACAAGGTATGGCCTTGCCACAAATGCTTCCCTAATTCCTTCCCACTTTGTGCAAGACAATCCTTGTTGTGCCAAACCCCAATGAAAACTTGCACCTTACTACTCCTGAGAAATGAGCACATTCAAACCCAGGTGAGATCATGGGCCGCTCAGGTATGGAACAGTTATTCACAGGACAAACAGGATTTTAGTTCTGGGAAGGATTATTGGAACAGATGGAAATGGAGATTAGAGGCTCTCCCATAGCTGGGCAAGCATCATGACCGTGTTATTATTGCAGCCAGAACTGCACTGCTGGCGTGGAGCAGTGAGGAAGTTTGCTCTTAGGTTTCTGATACTCACATTCCAGTCAATGGTGGAGTAGAAAGAATGGCGCTTGATCTCTTCTGCTCCATCTGGTCCAGAACCTGGAAGATGCACCCATGGAGTGTGTTGCATTAAACCACAAAGCGAAGGCTGATACCACGTATGCAACACAGCCAGGTATTACAGGGAGCCTGGCTGTAATTAAATGAGCCCATTAACCAAGCACAAGCACAAACATGCTGCTGACCCAGGAGGACGTGAGAGGCCCCGATAGAGCATCAGGTGCATTCAGAAACCCCCACAACTGTCTTACCTAATCTGTTGGCTGGGTTCCTTTTGAACAGGGCTCGCAGGAGGCTCTGTGCTTCAGCGCTCAGGAACTGTGGCATGCCCAGCTTTGCTCTGGGGAGGATGTTATGCAATTGGTTGCAGGTTTGGAGAAGTCAACCCACGAGCTGAGTGCAGCACCTCCACCCCCAAAAGTACAATCATCTCTTTGGCATTTCCACTGCACCCTTCAAACTGACTGCGGAGACAAACCCACTTGCCAAATAATGCCATGAAGTTGCGAGAGCCCCCAGATTGCAACACGCTCAGGGAAGGAGCAGCAGCTCACCTCCTGCTCATACATGAACGAGAAACCCCTCTTACTTGAGGATGAGGGTCATCGTCTCCTTACGATCCTTCCCCTGGAAGGGCAGCGAGCCCGTGAGCATTTCAAACTGGCAGGGAGAGAGAAGAAGGGGAGGTCACGATGGAGCAAGACTGGGGATTGCACAGATCCCACTGCACCTTCATCTGGGAGCTCACCAAAGCTTGTAAAGAGCTTGCAAGGGGTCAAAAGCCTAAGCTCTTGAAAGGCAGCTGATGTGCTTTCTCAGGAGGAGCTTGGTTCGCAAGGTTTGCTGGAGAAACACGTTCAAGCCCTCAGCTTCAGGACCTACCAGATGGTGGCACTAGATCTGCACGGACATGGACATCCCAGTGCTGGGATGGACACGGACACCCCCACCCTGCGCACCCCAGCACTCACTGGGACAACAACAGCTCTGCCTGCCCCCAGGAACACACGTTCCTGGCTGGGTGCCTGGGCAGGCTGATACAGAGCCCTTCTGGGGAGCCTGGAGAACATCCCCAGGCCAGGACGTCCACCAGACGTGTGGAATCATGCCGGGGAATCATTTCAGAGCCAGGTCCCCACACACGCTACTGGGTACGTACCATTAACACCCCGTACGACCACCAGTCAGCACTGTGCGAGTGGCCCTGGCGATTCACAACTTCTGGTGCCATATATTCCACTGTCCCACAGAAGGAATAGGCTTTCTTCTCGTGGTCTATAGCCTCCTTACTCAAGCCAAAATCTACATAAGAGAAAAACAGCGAGTGTTCATCCATGTGCTGTGAGCAATCACACAGAGAGGCCTGTGCTTCAAGAACCAGCCTTGCTGGTTTTGTGGAGTCCCTTACCTGTGAGTTTGATGTGCCCTTCTTCATCCAAGAGGATGCTACAGCATGAATGGAAAAACCAAGTTGTTACTGTCTGCAATAAGGGCTGAGAAGAAGCACACAGAGCAGAGGCTGGTCTGAGATGCTCTCAGAATCCAGAGGAGAAAGTTATCTGTCTCTTGCCCCAGTGCTTTAAGCTCCATCACCAAGACGTGAGTGGCAACAAGAGCAGCTCCCTTCTCTCTACACCCTCAACTTCACACTGAACAAATGCCCCACACAGGTTGTCCCAGCTCAGATCCTCACATAAGAATAAGCAAGCCATGCAGCTGGTGTGCATCTCTGCAGAGGCCCAGCCTGGTCCCTTTTCCCTCTGAAGGCTCTCAGTTGCTTAAAGCTGGAGCCCAGGGAGTGCCAAGGATTCCTGCTCAGCCATGTGGTGCACACATGCTGCCTCCACCGCGCTCCTGGCCCTCACTGCTGCTATGAGGAGCAGGAGCCTTGTCAACTGGCACTGCCACCTTCCATCTGCCTGGCCTGGGGCACTGCTCAGCTCTGCTGGCTCCAGGCCTGGGGCTGAGCTGAAGCACGGGCTTCCCTGCCTCCGCTTTGCCACACGTACTTCTCCGGTTTGAGATCCCTGTAGATGATTCCCAGGCTGTGCAAGTGGTCGAGCCCCAGCGCCAGCTCCGCGAGGTAGAACTTGACGTCCTCCTCGGTGAACATGACCTGCAGGAGGGGAGAGGGAGCAGACAGGCGCTGGGGTTACAGCGCTGGCAGTGGGACCAGCTCTGCTGCACATTTCACATCCGAGTTGCTCCCTTCTGCCCTTTCATTCCCAAGTTTCCCAGCCACCCTGAAGCAGGAATTAAGCAGCAGCGGCACCAAAGGAACCAAACAGATTGCTGAGCAGCAGGCACGCTTCCCAAAAGCTCTTTCTTTAGGTTTGCCAGGTTAGGTTCCCAGTCGTCTTCACCTGGCACAACTTCTCCTTACCCCTCCCATGCCCTGGCTTCATCCCAGGGAGGTGACACAACCACCCAACTGCAGCACAACATGTTTCTGCCTGGGTTCATTCTTAAAGTGATGCTCAGCAGAGGAGAGACCTGCCTCCTGTGCTGCTGCTGCTTGGCTGCAGAGGACAGGGCTCCTGTGACATCCCCTGCTGTTGCCAGCTCTGGGCTAGCAGCAGCTTGGAAGTCATTTCCACCCCTCTCCAAGACTTCGCAAGGATCAGTTGCTTCTCCCAGAGCCTCAGCAGCCCACCAAGATGCCAGAGCATACCCACCTCTTTGGAAAGCCGAGTGAAAAGGTCACCTCCTCTGAGGAAATCCAAGATGAGGTACAGCTTCCCCTCTGTCTGGAATGCTGAAACACAAGCCGGAGCAGGGATCAGACCCCTCCGCTGAGGGGGGGCTCCGTGGTGTCACATTAATCACTTAAATCCCAGTGGCTCCAGTTGTGCAGATGCCCTGCGTGGTTACTGGGTTAAACACAGGTAGGGCTGATTATCTGGGGTAAATGAGACAGCCTGTCCACGACATTGAAACTGGAGCTCACCAGCAGCATCCTGGCACTGCAGATAATCCTCATTTTATGGGGGGCTGGTTCCCTTTCAGCCAGTGATGCCCTGCTGAAAGGGCTGTTTCCTAAGAGAAGCACTGGTCACTTTACAGGAAAGAAGCTATTCTTGCCTTCCTGAGTCACAGCATTAATCCTGCCAAGCTCTGCTTTGGCCAGTTAGCTCTGCTGTCTCAATTTCTCCTCATTTCATGTTTTATCCTCCAGGATTTGGTGTTTAACCCCCTCCTCCTGGTCTATGCTCTCTTTCCCATCCAATAGCTAGAGCGAGCACGACACCAAAGACCTTTCTAGGACAGGATTTGTGTTCAGGGGGGTGTGAAAGATCCAGAGCAGCAACAGCCTTTGAGGGATACAGACTGATCCAGGCCTCTTCTCCATTTCAGGTATCTCTGTTGGGGATCATGAGAGGTTCTCAGTATCCTCCAGGCAGATGCTGCTGCTGGATGCCTCATGCTCATCTACCTGCTCATAGCAAGCGTGCCTGGAGCAGCATCTTTCCTTATTGTGTCTAAAAGCAGCCAGTGCGTGTTTGAGCCCCTCTCCCAGTGCCCCAGCTAGCTCCACACTCACCATAGTGGAGTTTCACCACAAAGGGATGGTTTACATCAGCCAGGATGTCCCGTTCTATCTTTGTCCTTAGTCGATCGCGCACTGTGGGAAGAGAGAGGAATAGCTCAGAGAAAAAGGCTCGTAGCATCCTGGTATCAGCCTTGTCCCCAGCCTTAAGCTCTTTAGTACCAGGCAGCTTGAGCCAGATCTTTTCCCACCTCCAACACTGCAACAAGGGTCTCTTACAGACGGAAAGAAAAGGAGACTGGGATAAAGATACTTCCTTTCCATCCAGCTCACACAGGGCCAACACTGACTGCTGTGACATCTCCCCGGCCCTCTTTAAGACACAGAAGCATTGCACGGCAGAGCCTCCTACCTTTCAGTGTCGCCTTCTTGAGCACTTTCATGGCATAGAGGTGGTTGTTGTCTGGCGGTGTGATTTTCCTCACCAAGAAAACCTGAGGCAAAAGAACACCACATTTGCCAAGCACTGAACACCAGGAGCAGGAGCTGGATGCCTCCCGGAGTGGCAGCCTCCCAGTAAGCCTAAGCAGCAGCCGGCCACAGGCCTGGTAAGATGCACCTCAAAGTCTCCATGTGAAACCCCATGAGGTTTCTGGTGAAGTGCTGTGTGCAGACTCCTCTACCCCCACCTCCAGCCATTACAGCACGAGTGCTTTTATACTGCACTTCCCTCCTCTCCAGTCTTCCACACCTCTTGCTCACTCCTGCAGTTCCTGCCTGGGAGCTGTGATTTGAAGCACTGATGCTTCACTGTACCACCAAGCCGCCTGGTGACTTGATGGTTTGACAGCCAGATCAACTCATCAATGAGGTCCTGCATCCCCTGTGGATCTGACCTCCTTCCCTTCCCTGATGTGCCATGTTCTATATTCAGGCAGCTTCAGAAAGACACCCCCTTTCTTCTGCACAAAGCCCCCGCTGCGTTTGCCCAGGGGACAGCACAGAGTCCTATCCAAGCACAAGTCCTATCCACTGCCAGTGCTGGTAACTGCCTGACATGAAGCTGATTTAACATGTGAGCAGATGGTCAGTGAGAGACCTGGATTATTTCCACACTGACATAGATAAGAATTACAGGCTACTTCCTTCTCCCTTCACAGAAGGGAAACTGGACCAGAAATAGGGGCCAAACCCAGTCCCTGGCACACAGCATGATTTCTGAGAAGAGAGAGACGTGCCTGAGTCCTCCAAGTCCTTAATTCAACTGACAGCTTGGCAGCCTTTAGAGGGCTGCAGGAGGTCCTTCTGCCCTGTATGACACCTGCATTCACAAGCAGGACACTCCTTGCCTCCTCATCACCTAAAGAAGAATTACAGGGGAGCTTTGGGCACACAGGCTGGTCTCAGAAGGCAGCACTGATACAGTTGCCTTTCGGGTTAAAAGCAACCATTTGCTCGTCAGTCAGATTCTCATGATCTGGTGGGAATCAGTAAAGTGATTTTGCTGGGGACAGTCCCCTTTTGTCACCAAAATCATTGATGTGCTGTGACACAAAGGAAGAAGGGAACCCACCTTGCCGAAAGAGCCCTGTCCCAGCACCTTCAGGAGCTCAAACTGTGACGGATCTGCTTTCTCAGAGCCTTCCTTCACATGGTGGGTGATGTTGATTTCTTTCACAACACCTTCGCCCTGCAAAAGAGGGGGAAAGCTGCCTGGGAATGTACTCCTGAACACGGGAAAGGAAGCGTTATCAGAGTGAGGAACAAGGATTGTAGCTACAGCCTCACAGGAACCACATCTGAGAGAACCACGAAAGCTGGTGCTTGTCACAGGTATCTCCTGGCTTCAACATCTGGCCTTACTGACTCATTGGTAGGCTCACACCAGGCAGCCTCATTCCATACCCTGCGCTCTCCCCGACGGCTCCGCTCCTCACACCGCGGGCGCTGCACTGCTTTGAACTGCGTTTCAGAAGGGTGCTTGAAAAGCACCTTCCTTTTTAAGGCACTGGTAGCAAAAAACAGGAGTGTTTATGCCACGCAAAAATCCCACAACACAAAAATACGGCACTGTTGTCAAAACACGGCCAGGGCTGGCAAAAACCAGACATGTTGGAGCCCATCTGCTCGGCAATCTGAGCAACTCCGCAACATAAGTCTTAGTGCATCTTCAGCACATACAGATGATGCTTTAACAGACTCAAGCCTTCAAGAAGATTGAGGGGAAGCCAAGGTCTCTGGCACATGTTTTGTTGAAAACACATTCTTTTATTGGAAAAAAATAAAGAAGGAAAAGAAATTTAATCCGCAGGATCTAGAATAAACTCACCAGCGAAGCTGGGCCAGCACACGAGAACAGCCACAGGCCCCATGGTGATGCTCCAACACCTCTTTTCCCCAGCAAACCCTGTCCATACCCTGGTGCACAAAGCCCAGAGTTCAGCTCAGGAGAAACACCTTGTGCTGCTTTCTGTTTGCAGCCCAGGGATATATCTCTATATGTAAAGAGACTTTTTATGCTACTTGTCTTCCAGCTGCGCCTTTCCCTCTACTTCTCCTGATCACAGTGAGCCAGTACATCCTGACTTGGCTTTCCTCAGCCCCTCTCCCAGCTGACCACAAGGAGAGCCCACTGAGTAGGCTGGACTTAACTCCCCTCTTCTAGAGACATGAATCTTACTAAGGCCAGAAATCCCATTGTAGCTGTACATCCTGCAAGGGCAAGTCCAGGCTTCTCAGCACTTCAGTCCCACGTTATCCAGGTAGAGGTGGCCTGGTCACTATTTGGACCTGAAGTGCAGCAATTACTTTCCAAAGGGCATAACGGTTGCTCTCTGACCCTAGGGCAGACGTGGCCACCAGAGGCTGTCAGAAACGGGAACTCCCGTTTAGTTTTTCCCCTTGCAATGCTGGTGGAAGGAAAGCTTTGCTCTGTTTCCTGAAACGATTCAGCTGCTTGCTCTGGAACCCAGCAAATCAAAGCGGCTTTTACAAAACAACAGGAACCAAGGTTCAGCCCTGCCTCTCCTCCGCAGCCCAGCCCAGCCCCTTCTTGGGGAGGGTGGTCCTGCCGAGCACCCGCGGATGTGGTTGCCTGCACCGAGCACCCTTCCCTTTGCTCCCCGCTCCCATGCTTGGCTCTTCTCTAGCTTCAGCAGTGCCTCTGTTTCCCTGGTGGTAGCTTTGCTCTCTCCAGATCCTGTATTATTCAGACACTAAGACCCGGCAGAGAAGCCCTCACTCTCAGCAGCGCAGCACGTACAGCCCGAGCATGAGGAGAGGGCAGGGGGCAGGAGCTGCCCTCTGTTATCCTGCCTTTTGCTGCCCTGAGTGATCACAGGCAAGCAAGATCTTATAATCCCTGTAACAACAAGTTTTTGTGTTCCATGTGATTCCCCAGCACCCCCACGTCACCCTTCTGGTTTCCTTTGGAGGCTTAGTCCATGGCAGACAGTTGCTGATGGGGAAAAGCTTCCCAGTTCTAGCTAAGAGCCTGAGCAGGAGTCAGCCAAGAGGTCTCCTCCTGCTGGTCCTTGAGCAATTCCTCAGTAGGGAGAGACCCAGGGATGGGAGCAGTGGAAGTTATGGGCTCTTTCCCCCACCCCATCTCCATGAAAACACTGGAGAGAAACCAGGTCTCCACAGCATCAGCACTTGTACAGCCGCAGGTTTCTCCCTGTAGCATCGCACACCTATGCCGAGAGGAACTCTTCCATCCACGCCGGCACATCTGGACCCATCCTCCTACCACAGCTCTTCAGGAGCTGTGGGAATCCTTCCCCTTGGCCAATGGCAAGACCCACTGTGTTTAACTGCAAGTCTCAGCAGCCCAAGCTGTACCTGAAGGCAGGCAGAGATCTGCACACACAGCCTGCCAGCCACATCAGCAAACACACACATACCAATGAGACCAGGAGTGGCATCAGCCAAGACACTGCTGAGAAAAGCTTTGAGATGCCATTTGGCATCTTGCTGACACGAGGGAGGTTTCTTCCCATGGATTCATCCAGTACCTGTAATTCAACAGCAAGCTGGAGACCACCTCCTACAGCCTGTTTAGCAGCACACCAGAACAAGTCTCCAACACAAAAGCACCCCTGTGCCACCAAGCTGCAGCACAAACAGGCTTCACTTGCACCAAGTTACATTCCTTCCAATGGCAGCAGTAAGCAAACTATCCCAGAAGACAGAAAAACTAACCCAGCATCAGCCCGACTGCATGAGCAGGGACACCAAGTGAAGCCAAGCAAGCAGGCAGCAGTACTGACCGGGCTGGAGAGCTGGCTGGGGGCAGGCAGCTGCAGGCTGCAGGGCTTGGCTCGGTGCTTCCTCTGCAGCCAGAGCGTGAGGAAGGCGCAGATGCGAGGCAGTTTAGGGTCCCTCTCCATCCTCCCATCCCCGTCAGCATGGCCCAGCGCCGCTCACCACCACCCCCGGGAGCCGGATGGAGCTGATGCAGGTGGGTAAAGCCCAACCAGCAGATGCGCAGTGGAGACGAGCGAGGGTTCGTGCTCCCACTCCCCAGCAGCAGCGCTTGTGGTCGGGGCTTTTGGTTGACTTTGCTTTTGCTTTCAAACACAAAGAACCTCCGAGCTCCTGGTTCACGTGGGGGGGACAGTTCGCTGACAGAGAGCGCATGTGGTTTAGCTCAAGTGACTTCATGTAGAGCTACACCAATGACACGGCACCGGTGAGCTCCTGGGGGCTTTCCGTACCAGGGGAACATTCTGAGAAGCCGCTTGCTCTTTAAAAAGGAAAGAGAAAAACTCCTGAGACCTCTCACCGAAGCCTAATGCCACCTCAGGAAGCTGCACAGCTCTGCTCTCACACTGTCACAGGGGTGGTGGATCGAGCCCATAGGCAAAGCCTCTGGCATCACATCCTTCATTTGCTTTGCGCTGCACAGGGGTCCTCACTGTGGATGCTGGAGGTGCCCAAGAGCCACCCGGGGAAGTTCCATGCAAGGTATTTTTAGGGCATTTCTGATGCAGACAGCTTCTGCCCCCGCTGCTGCTGCATGTTATTAGCAGGAAAGAGAGGGGGTATTCAGATCTCTTGTTTTGCCTCCTTCCTCCTCCAAGCCTGTCCCTCTTTGACCTTTCCATTGGGTCAGGACAGACAGATGTTTTCTGCAGCAAGACCCCAGAGGGTGCAGGTAAGAAAGAAACCCCTTGAAATGAGTAAAGAGACACCCATACACCTTTGCAATTAGAAATAACCTGATGTCAGCAGTGATTTCTGAGTACTCCAGAGTGCAGAGAATGAAAAGAGGATCTGGTTTGGACTGAAGAGACTATTTATGACTGTCTTGCCTCCTCCACCCCCATAACATGCTCTTTGAGAGCCAATAACGAAAGAAACGACTTAACACCAGCAAGGCAGCTGGCCCCAGCTCCACAGAGGGAACCTCAATAGCTGATGAGGTCCAAAGCAAGGGAGCTGGGAGCAGGAGCAAGAGAGCAGCATGGAACCATTCATACTGACACCTCCTTCATGCTGCCACAGGCCAAGTGAAGCAGAAGCCGTGTCCGTAATGTACCATCCAGAGGTGAGCATCACTGCTTCTGAGGAGATGCAGCTCTCTGCACACGGGTCCAGCAAGACCTGATAACTCTTGTCCCGACCAAGAGAACGCTGCATGCTGTGTTCTTAGGTGCTCAGCGCAGGGAGAGGAGCTCAGAAAGGCAATCAAAGAACCCCACTGTACCTCCAGGCAGCGCAAAGGCTGGAACGCCCAAGCAGACAAGATCAGAAAGCCACAGGAGACATAAATGACAGCATGGAAAGGAGTCTGCTGTGGGGAGGAAGGAGGAGGAGGAGGAGGATGAAGTCAAGTCCAGGATCTCATCTGAGCAAGTGAGTAATAGCTGCTTTCTGTATTAGCCATCCCTCCTAGCTGAGATGGGGTTTTCAGAGAGCTCTGCTCATGCCCCCACATACGTGGGGCAACATCATGGGACAAAGTGCAGGTCAAATGCATGAGTCTCCTCGAGCTGCACATCTACAGCAGGCTCTTACCTTGTCTGCCGAGTCCACAAGGTCTTTCTCTATCCAAGTGATGTCTGATTTTGCCTGCAGGACAATAAATGAGCATCAGCACACAGGGGCCATGATACTCTGCTAAAGTTTTCCCCACAGACTTGTTTAGCAAGACCAATGGAGCTGTTTACAGTCACTGGTGGCATCACCGCACCAGACAGTGCTCCTTGGGATGCGGTTCTGAGCCGTGTTATTAAAGGCTTTAATAAACCCTGACAGGCAGTGGAGAAGGACACGGTGATGGGACTTGATGACACGAGTTCCCCAAGAATCAGCATCAGCCAAGGAGAGAGAATTCAGTTCTGGCAGGTTGATTAACCATAGAATCCCAGAGTGGTTTGGGTTGAAGGGACCTTAAAGCTCATCCAGCTCCAACCCCTGCCTCGGGCAGGGACCCCTTTCACTAGGGCAGCTTGCTCCAAGCCCCTGTGTCCAACCTGGCCTTGAGCACTGCCAGGGATGGGGCAGCCACAGCTTCTCTGGGCACCCTGTGCCAGCGCCTCAGCACCCTCCCAGGGAAGAGCTTCTGCCTAAGAGCTCATCTCAGTCTCCCCTCGGGCAGGTTAAAGCCATTCCCCTTGTCCTGTCCCTAAAGGCCCTTGGCCAAAGCCCCTCTCCAGGTTTCTTGTAGCCCCTTTAGGGTTTCTTCGGCTTCCTCCAGGGTCACACTCAGTGTTTCTAAAGCAACCAGGAGGAACATGCTCAAACACCCAAAGCCACCACATCCCTTGAGGGCAGAGCAGGGCCAGCCCCACTGCTCCAACAGGTCCTTTAACAGCATCAGAAATGTCAGTTTATGCTGCCTCCGGGGCCAGATGCAATTCTGTGAACCCTCAGAGGGAGAGATGCAGAAGCATTTAAGGGGAGCTCAGAACAGAACTGCTTCTCATATCTGCTAGCATATGGCTCCTCCTTCCCCAAACCCCCCCAGACTTAATGAAGAAGTAAGTTGTTGCAAGGCCAGTCCCCACCCCTGCTGTGTTTTAATGGAGGTACACATAGGTTTGCTATCACATCTAGGTACTTTTCACTTGGGGTTTAGGTAACAGCCAAGACTGAATAGAAAAATCAACCCCCCAGATCAAATCAGATTTGAAACGTTTCCTCTGCGAGGCTCAAGTCTTTGGCTGCGGATGAGATAAAACTCATGTGACTGCAGACAGAGGGCATCTAAGAGGGACTCGAGCTCTGACTCCTCACAGTGCTGGCAGGGCTCTGCGGCGCCAGCAGCATCAACCGATGGGCACAGAGTGACCTGAAAGTAGGATGGGAGCTCCGGAGAGGCGAGAGGGGAAGCAGCAAGTCTTGAGGGAAGGGAAACAGCGAGATCAGAGTTAAGAATCAACTGATTTTCAGCTCCGGAAGGACTGAATCAGATCCGAGGGGCCCCTGCACCTCTTCCCCTTCCTCCCCTCCATCGTTCTGCTCTTGCTGTGGAGGAGCAGCCAAGATCTCTTTGGGTCTGGGAGAGGGTGGCTGCCCTGTGGGAAGCAGATGCTCCCATCTACCAAAACCCCAACTGAGCCCCTTCCTGAGCACCAAAAGTGATGGCAAAACCCTCCGGGGTCTCCCTCCAGCCCTCGGGGATCACATCCACCCATGGGGACACCAGCTCCCACCAGCAGGCACCACCCCCTGCCTCGGATGGGGATGGATCAGGCACCTCTCTGCACATCCACCCTCCCCAGGACACTGCTCCTGTGAGCCACCAGCCGCCTTCTGAACCCACACGCTTGGGAAAGGCCGGTGTACACCGATCCTGCACCACTGGGTAGTGGCATTTGCTGCTCCTGGGCAGTAAGAGCCCACCCCCAGGCACCAGCCAGCCCTGGGAGCAGCAGTGGCCCGAGTCAGAGGAGGAGACAACTTCTGAACATCCCAAAGCCGCCTCTGAGCCGCACAGATGGCTCAGTCCTCCTGGATGCGAGGCTGGCAAGCCCGGATGTCTGCTGGGGTTCCTTCCAGCACCCAGTTCAAAACCCCAGTCCTCTTTCCTCCTTTCCCCCTTTGGGAGGAAGGATTTTACAAGCCCGAAGCCAAGAGACAGGTTTGTTTTTGCTCGCGTTTTGTCACTTTGCTGCTTGAGACAGTCACATGGAAATGCAAGGGGGAGAAAAACAACCTGCGAGAGCTAGGAACAGATTATGCTTTTGGCATTTCGCTTCCTATTCATCAACAACTAACCAGAAGCTGTTTTAATTCCCGTTGCCTCGACACATGCTCTGGTCCCCAAACAATCCCAAATCCTGGCAGCACCTAAGACAGACGCTTCTCCGAAAGCAACGTTACCATCAGAAAAGCCCTCTCCAGAAAGAGAAGTCATTCATTAAACCTGGGTGAGGTTTAATTAAACCTGGGTAAGGTTTAATTAATTAAACCTCTCTCTGAGGTCAGGAGATTCACCAGCTTCTTGTGTCCTGCGGAAGAGCCAGAGCCCGTGCTGTAGCAGAGCGCATAGACACTTGCCTCCTGGATCCTTGGCTTGCTGCGAAAGAGGAGCCTCAGCATCTCCAAAGCTGCTATTCTCCCATACTTTGCAAGCTGGTTTCTGGACTCAGAGCGCTGTGCAGCACCCGGAGCAGCATGAGAACCCTGCGTGGAGTAGTTACATCACCGGCATGTATTTTGGGAGGTTTTTTGCTGAAAGGAAACTGTGGTTTCGTATGGGGAAATTGCATTGTGCGGCGATGGCTGCACAATACCAGCCGGCAAATGAAAACACTGGGTGGCTTTACGGGTGCTTAGGCATGGCTCTTTCCATCAGCAAATCTCAGCAGGCTTTTCAAGAGGATCACTATAGTCCCCTGTGTCCCAGACAGGAAAACAGGCACAGAAAGAACAACTTCAGTCACTACACGAGGCAGCAACAACCGAGAATCCCTGTAGCTTTCCTTCCCCGAACTTACCCTGCCCCTGCTCTGAGCAGCACGGATGCTGAGTCCAGCACAAATCCTCTCCCTGTAGGATCAGCCAAATTGCAGGTCCTCAGGGAAAAGGGCAGGAGGAGGCAGCTTCTGCATCCTCCCCCGGTTTGTCCCTGCCCCATGCTCGAGTTGCTCTACAGCATCTGCTGGACCAGGTCTTCAGGACGCTGCTGCAATGCCCCGTGTGAGGTTTGCACACTGACATCTTATGGGAGGGTTGCACAATCCTGCCTGCTTGCGTGTGGTCCTGCACCGCAACACTGCTCTGCACCCTGCTCTTCCACACCAAGGGATGACTTATGAGGCCTGGAGCGGGAAGGAGATGGGAGGTGGCTGAATCAGGCAGTGGAGGAGGAAGGAAGGCTTCATCCCCACAGCTCTGAACCAGTCCTCTCCCACTTTCTGTTTGCAAGGAAAAGAGGGAGCCCCGCGCTTACTCCCAGTTCCCGTCAAGAGAACGTCTGCATTTCACCAGTGCAAAACAGATGCCCTGCATGGTTTCAGAAGTTACCCAATGTTTCACCAGCTCCTTTGCTGCTTTACAGCATCCCTTCACCTGTCCCTGCTCTGCACCTTAACGAAGTCACAGCCCCTCTGCTAAACCTGGGGAGCA